GCACACGCCAGCAACGCACACACGCTATAGCAACGCACACACGCTAGCAACGCACACACGCTGGCAACACGCACACGCTAGCAACGCACACACGCTAGCAACACGTACAGGCTAGCAGGACAAGCTGATAAGCTGCTCCTCCAGATTGCACTGCACTATCTCGGACCGAGCTTTCCTGATAACACCCGACCTGTAATGTCGTACACACACATGTACACGCGGCTCATACTTGGAATGGAGTATTGGAATCATACTTGGAATCTTGGAATGGAGCCTTGGAATCATACTTGCAATCTTGGAATGGAGCCTTGGAATCATACTTGCAATCTTGGAATGGAGCCTTGGAATCTTGGAATGGAGACTTGGAATCATACTTGGAATCTTACAATGCGTTGCGCACGGTTAAGCCCGAAGGTCGCTCATCGTATACCGTGCCTAAATCGTTGGCAGTTATCAAGAATTTTATAGTAAATAAAACGCAGAGCAAGTTCAACAAATCTTCAGTGAAAACGTTTTCATTTAAGATACAGTGAACTTGCTTGGCGTTTCCTTCACTATTAAATTCTTGGTGAGCTCACAATTTAAGCAGACTAATGATATAAGTACTTAAATACGTTGGTAGTGATGTAGCAACAATCGGGACCACAGGGGCAGTAGAAAATACAACGGTGCATATGCCTTTTGTTGGGCAAGCTGATATAAGTTGCTACAGGCGTGCATCCAGCTGATGGTAGAGCAACAGGGACAAACGATTAGGGATTGTCCTCATAAATAAATCCATGCATATCTTGAATGTCAGAAGAGTAAACTTACTTTTCTTAGTTCTCTCGACAAGGCATTGAATGGTCTCGGCCTCGCCACGGATAGAGATCTCTCCGGCGGAGACTAACCTCTGACCTCCTCTCGGTGGTTCAAATGAATTATTCTGCGCAGTCTTTCGCTCCTTTCACTGTGCACTAAGCACTTTGCAGGCTCTACTCTTCGTTTTCATATGTAGGATCCAGTACGGTTATATTCCAGCAGTGATGATGACACATAACCCTTATGCCCTCTAATGAAAGCAGCATTCGCCTCTTCGGTGCCTCAACCTCTACTACGGTAGTAGTCCAGCACATAATGATGTATTGTTGCGCGAATGTTAGCAGGACTGTCCCATATCACCGCATATTGGCATGAACGCAGACCACAGCTGGCAGCAGTATACTACTCTTGAATGGGCAGTGCAAGCTAGGGCTCTTAAGAAGTAAATATCGACGGCGTTTGGGTGGCTCGTAAATTCGGTGGACGAAAGCGTTGCTCTATCGAAACTTCTTTGAAGACTCGCAATCGTATTTAATCAAGTCTGAAGCAGTAGAATTTCAATTTATCCACTTGGGCCCAAACTAACATTGTAGTGCAGGCAGGCTCGCGTGTAATCTTCTTCAGCACTCTTTTTTCTCGTTCGCAAATGACTATAATATGAGGATGCGTGGCTTAGTCCTAAATCTGTTTCGACGCTGGGCATGAGAAAAAGTTGGTTCAGATACCGACGCAATGGCACTTAAATTCTCCTTCTCGTCTCGGGAAATTTCCAGCCTCTACCACGACAGCTTGCACATCGGAACAGCTTGATTACCTGAGGGGTTATAGCCATTAGTCGGAATTTTTTTGGTCTTTTAATAGCACCCTTTATGAAACTTAGCCTCATCGGTTCATTTTCGAGATGACCAAAATTCTCCCATTACACTTTCACTAGGAATTCTTTTAGTACAATTTACATAGCGTAATTATTATAGCCATAGGTACTTCAACACACTTCTTTAGCAGCACGGCATGGACTCTGGAGCTCAGAGTTGACATTTCCTGGACAGTCCTCTGCATGTATTATGGTCCAATATCTGTGTTCGTTTCTTCCTGCCTACAAGACCTTTATACTTTTACTTTCATTTGCCCGTTTTGAGATGGTTGCATAAACCAGCTTCGAACTGCGTTCACACCACAGGCAGGTCGTCACCGCGATGAATACGTAATTATTCATCAGAGGGCCCACGGACTTCCGCATTTAGCTTGGCCTGCACGTATTTACTCGTAAATTTATTGCAGTTCTCGCTGATGGCACGCATCGTTCCTGCTTGCTCGTAAACCTCGTGCCAGTCTAGCAAGTGTCGCTCAAGGTCCTCGAAATGACTAATTAGTCTCGTAATATCGTTGGGATTGCCATCTTCATCTTTTGGGATTATCGTTGGGATTGCCATCTTCATCAAAAGGGCTTTATCTTTTTGAAGTAGGACGCACACACACATTGAGTAAATGTTTGTTAGCGTGGTACCGTATGCATTACATCGGAGGTTGCGGCTTAGGTAGCGGTATCATGAAGTGATAAAGATCCCACACTCATCTGCTATCTCCATGAGCACATAGATCTTGTGGGTTATTCCCCACGTGGGAAGCCAGACTCTTCTCCCCACTGGTGTTTTTGCCGACACTAACACCTTTTGTCCTTCATTTTACCGCTGCTGCAACTAGAATTTTACTAACTCCCTTTGTCTTTGCAGGTTTAAGAAATCGAATTTGCCGACCTCGGGCAATAAATTTGCTCTCTAGCAAGATCAGTTATAAGTTGCTATGAGCACTCTTAAATATGGGTCTCGACTCCCCCTAGATTTCTCCTCCGTTTTTCCAAAGCGCGTCTTCCACCAGAGGTTGAAACTTGGCTATCAGGACTGAAATCCACCCCAGCTTCTCAGTATGTTACGTTTTTACCAAGTCGCCAGAATTAATTTCCCCCAAATAATTATGTTCAAGAAGGTAGAAGGAACAGTGACGCTGAACTTAGATCGAAATTACGTGCATGTTTCATTATTAATAGAGCTCAATGTTGGAAGTTGCCGTCTTTCCTTTTTACGTATATTTACGGATGAAAACACAGGAATGCTGCGGCAAATCTAGTGATAAGCAATTCTAAATTCCTAGGCGTTCTTTATAGTCACTTTTCATGCATTGAAACATTTTATCCAGCAAGCGAACTGCCAGCTGGTCTATCCCCTTGATCGAATTAATGGACGATGGGATAGGAAGATGGAATGATATGCCATTTCAAGGAGATAATGAAAGAGGCAGGGACAAAAATATACAACAAACTAACATGTCAACCACGTTCTTGTCGCCATGCAACACGCTCGCTACACTTATGTCGCTACAGTCGTGCTGACAACTTCAGGTTTCCATCACACCGTCAGCAATGCGTGCGTCAGTCGTGCTGACAACTTCAGGCTTCCATCACACCGTCAGCAATGCGTGCGTCAGTCGTGCTGACAACATGCAGCGCCTGAGATACGACCGTCGTAAGTCGTGGCTTGCATGCAGCGCCTGAGATACGACCGTCGTAAGTCGTGGCTTGCATGCAGCGCCTGGGGCGCAACACGGCGGCCTCTCCTGCAAGACTTCGTCAGCCGTTCCAGCGCCCCATCCTTGCTACATGGCACATCCATGCGTGATCAATGTACACACGCACACATTACAGCACAAAATGCGTACACATGTGCCTACAGATAAAATATGCTATACATGGCACACACAATCACTGTTTGGTACTGCGACACGGCGGAGCGCACAAACACAACCCACCCTCACGGAGCTTAACGCGACACTGATGGCAAAGGTATGCGGTGACCACAGCTCTACTGGCTGTCGGCTGTACACCTGCTAGCTGGCTGACTGGCTGGCGGCAGGCTGGCTGGAAGGGTGCCGCCCTTCGTGACGTCATGCGTGCTGGAGGAATGTGATGGCATTGCTTCTTCACTCGTGCGCGTGGGTGTACGTGCGTCGTACCACACGTAATCACGTGCCCGTTCAAGTACCGATATCATAACTAGTCATGTCAACACTAGCAATGGCAACTGGAGAGTGTCAGCTGATGGAGGCAGCGTAAGTGTATGGCTTTGTTATGAGATGATCCTTCTCGTGCCTCGGCACCTCTTCCCGCTGGCGGATGTACGATGACGTCACGGCCTGTCATGAGCCGGTCGCCCGCTGTCCCGTGGCATCACCACAGCAGCCACAACACAACGGCAGCAACAGATACATCAGCCGAAAAAAAGATAATAATTTAAACACCCGCAAGAATAACAGAAGCAATAACTACAACGTCATCAGTAGCGAAGAGACAGATAATTTAAGCCAAGATGATTGCAGACTTAATTATCATCAGCTCATTCAGCTGTATGTTCATTGACCTGTTAAAATCATCGAACGCGACATTTTAAAGCGTAAACCAAATTCATGGGATTTAGTGATGTACAAGAATCATATACATCACACGCTACATCACTAACACATCATCATGCGCATGGCGTGCACCACACGCTACATCACTAACACATCATCATGCGCATGGCTTGCACCACAGTGACCACACGCTACATCACAGTCATCACTAACACATCATCATGCGCATGGCGTGCACCACACGCTACATCACTAACACGTCATCATGCGCATGGCGTGAATGTTAGCATGCTTCCTCATGGACACGACAAGGCGGGATAATATATGCGCAATAATTTAGATGCAAAAATAGCGACAGGAACGAGTTTTGAGGATCAATGAACCGGAATAAAGCAGTCAGCCCACGAATTAAAAAATAATTTTCTTCGTGCCCAGAGAAAATGACGATAAGGTGTAAGGTAGACTACGATGAAAAAAACAATCCAACCACTTCCCAGGCCAAAATAAACTATTTCCCCGTAATTAAAATAGTTATTTATTAGATCCGACGCACAATTTTATTCCTTGGTAAACTAAGCACTTTCGCACTCAAATGAGCAACAACAAATAAGATGAAAGGGACTGGTCGTTTCCGACAAGCGACAACTTCTCAGTCGCATCCTCGCAGGCTCCAGCTCTAATGAATCATTAAAAACATGTGCTAGGAAACTACACACAAAGGTGTTGGCATTTCGGAGACATGAACTGAAAAACAATCTTCTGGGTCCGGGATGTGGCTGAGGTTCAGGGAGGTATTAGGGGTGTGGATGGGGTACAGGGGAGTGGCTGGGGTACAGGGGAGTGGCTTCGGTACAGGGGTGCGGCTGGGGTACAGGGGAGTGGCTGGGGTACAGGTGTGTGGCTGGGGTACAGGGGTGTGGATGGGGTACAGGGGAGTGGCTGGGGTACAGGGGTGTGGCTGGGGTACAGGGGTGTGGCCGGGGTACAGGGGAGTGGCTGGGGTACAGGGGAGTGGCTGGGGTACAGGCGAGTGGCTTGGGTACAGGGGTGCGGCTGGGGTACAGGGGAGTGGCTGGGGTACAGGGGAGTGGCTGGGGTACAGGGGAGTGGCTGGGGTACAGGGGTGTGGCTGGGGTACAGGGGTGTGGTCGGGGTACAGGGGAGGACAGGGGCGGGCAATATTGATCAGGTACGGACGCCTCCACACTCAAGGAGCGGCAGCTGCGATGACGTCATCAGGTTCAGTTGCGGCAAGCCTTAGCCTTAACGTATCGCCGCAGGGGCCTTAACCTATCGCCCTGGGGCCTTAACGTCGCGCCGCAGGGGCCTTAACGTATCGCCGCAGGGGCCTTAACGTATCGCCGAAGGGGCCTTACGGTAGCGCCGCAGGGGCCTTAACGTTTCGCCGCAGGGGCCTTAACGTCGCGCCGCAGGGGCCTTAACGTAGCGTCGCAGGGGCCTTACGGTAGCGCCGAAGGGGCCTTACGGTAGCGCCGAAGGGGCCTTACGGTAGCGCCGCAGGGGCCTTACTGTAGCGCCGAAGGGGCCTTACGGTAGCGCCGCAGGGGCCTTAACGTATTGCCGCAGGGGCCTTAACGTCGCGCCGCAGAGGCCTTAACGTCGTGCCGCAGGGGCCTTAACGTATCGCCGCAGGGGCCTTAACGTAGCGTCACAGGGGCCTTAACGTCACACCGCAGGGGTCTAAACGTAGCGCCGCAGGGGCCAAATTTGCCACAGATAATTTCACAACAGTTGTACATTACACACGCTTGACGGACCAATTCGCCTTGACACGTCCGAACATTGCGATTTGAGCGTTTAACTGTTCAGCTCACGACTGGTCAACTCTTTCCTATCCAGCTCTGCAATCGTGTGAGCTGAGGTAGGAAGATAAGCGACAGCCGTGTTTGTGTGTCCTTAGGGCTTGCGTATATTACATCATTAAACTAAACTCTAATAATAACCTGATACTCGGCATGCGCTAGATGAAAGGTTGTACAGAAATACGCTTCATGCCCCCCTTTCCATGGTTTCTCCCACGCAACCCTAGCTGTCCCTCGCCTCCCGAAAGGTCCGAGAACAGCGGCCGGTTATAACCGCCGGATTCTGCTGGTCTCGTTTCCAACCCGTCCAAGTCAGGAGTCCTCAGTAAAATAGCGGCTTACATCAAGCTAGTAGCTATGAACCTTCATGAAAGTTGTATAGGAAATTATAAGTAGTTCATTGTCTTCGCGTCCAACTTCTCTCGCCATTGTCTCGGCCGGCCGTTTGAAGGCCACTCAAGACTGGCCAAGAACGAAAGCCAGGTTGAAAGAGAGTCCCTTTAGTAAAAGCACGCAAAGTGAAAGAAGAGTTTAATGAAATCGACGATGAACAGATTTAATGGAGTTAAGATATTCATCAGATATTCTAAACTCTAAAGCATTTCACACTCGCCATTAGTTTTCGAGACTAGGGCGATCAGGTCGCGAACATAAATTTGCAGAAGGCAACAAGCAGCGCATACTATCCGGAAACGCAGTTCAACCGACACATTTGCCACACGTGCAATTCTTTCGTAGCAAGAAGCTCATCAAATATTAGGGAACAGTCGTCCCGTCACGCCGGAAAGCGTTACTGCACGACTTCTGGGGCATATAGCACGATAAAAAATATATAGTCACAAGTTCGTAGCTCAGTCAGCCAATCACTGACGGCCTTTCTAGCTAAACCGTGCACTTAGGCAGCTACGTGTACATAGGCCGCTACGTGTACATAGGCTGCTACGTGTACATAGGCTGCTACGTGTACCTAGGCCACTACGTGTTCTTAGATCGCTACGTGTACTTAGGCCGCTACGTGTACTTAGGCTGCAATGTGTACACGATTGAGTTGTTATGGTACGGCCCCTATCAACAACTCGCCTTCCAGACATATTAGTGGGATAAATGAGATTCACTTCAAAAGTGTATGTGCCATAATATTGTTTTAGATAACAAAAAATAACTAGACTTCTGCCTGAAGAATAATGCAGTTTACAGAGCCTTGTGTAAAACAGGTTGGAGTAACAAAATTTTAGCATTTGTTTATGATTTGAAAGAGAAGTTATATTTCTGCACCCTGTCGGCGGATGCATGGTAATGTTGACCTGGTCGAGGCAGGACGATTGCATGCATTAACAAGTTACATGCTACATGACTTTGCATTAACTCACTTGCATCAGAAATTTGTTGACTTCAGTGACCAACTCTCTCTGATGATATTCTTGTGATGATAGATGATACGAAACAGAATAAATAGGATTGTGTTCATTTTAGAAAAAATCTTTCACCGAGTTATCAGCTGGAGACGACATCGGTTAACATGATAATAATTAAAGAAGAAGAGGTTATGAATTTATCCAAAAATGAAACACTTTCTTCTCCACAGCACCGCTTGCCGGGCTAAATTGGCTCAGGTTGACAGACACAGACGCTGAAATTGCGTTGCTATTTTGGACAAAGTCTCACTCATTGCTCTGCGTGTGCAGGAATAGATGCATTGAATTATTCAGTGTGCACAACACCAGCTCTGCTGACGTCACTGCACTTAATTTCTTCGACTTGCTGAAATCGTAGCATTTTTTTGCAAATGTCAACATCAACTCAGCGTTATAAACAAGTTTCAGTGCGAGTTACAGCGCGTTTTGTGAATTTTGGTGCAGGGGTAAAAAAATACTCGCTTGATTACATAACACACGTCCCGGTCTAAATACACATGGCGGCCTATAGGTGCACGTAGCGGCCGATTTCTCGTCTGTGATTGGCGGGTTTAGTTTGAGAAGCCGTCAGTTATTGGTTGACGGAGTTTCAAGCTCGTAACGATATTAGATATTATAGCCCAGTACTGTTGTGCGCCACATATATATCACGGCTTTCTCACGGAAAACCACTAAATGGCTCATAAAATATGGTTAAAATATAACTAATAAGGAAAATAGGTTTGATGTGAGGCAAAACTTGATTGCTGTCAACAGGGAGTGTGCGGTGGAGCTGAAGGCGCTACAGCATGAATGATACAGCGCCTCGCTGAGATGCGGCCTCACGCACAGCTGCTGATATGGGCACCCCGCTGCCTGCATAGTCTCGTGATGCCAGGGTAATGCGAGGGTAATGAAGGGGTAATGAAGGGGTAATGCGAGGGTAATGCAAGGGTAATGACGGGGTAATGAAGGGGTAATGCGAGGGTAATGCGAGGGTAATGCGAGGGTAATGCAAGGGTAATGACGGGGTAATGCGAGGGTAATGAAGGGGTAATGCGAGGGTAATGCAAGGGTAATGACGGGG